CTTCTCATCTTTTTCCCAAATTTTATTTAATCCAATTAGATGGAAATGAGAAATACCTAGCGTAGCTCTGTTGTACCTACAACGTAAAAGGAGTGGGACAAAGAAAAAGCCTATACCCGAGAACTACAGTATAATTTAATTACTTTAAAGGTGGGTGATGGCTGATTTTAAGCTTAATTTCTTTAATGTAAGTTATATTTGTAAATAAATAGGATTAAAATAAAATAATATTTACCACCGGATGAACCGAACCCAATTTTATGGTTTTCATATTGTAAAAAAAAATTAACAAAATCTAAAATAACTCCTCTAGAAAAATATCATAAAATAAAATATACAAAAAAATTATATTAATTGAATAGTAAAGTAAACTTATATATTAATAGGTCCGGACCGTAAAAAATAAAAAGACCGGTCCGGACCACGGTCCTCAACAAAAAGATCGGTTCGACAATCGGTCCCGGTCTAAGACCGATAGGACCGGACCGTTGACCTTCACTACTCTACAAGCAATAATTATACTAACAATATAATAAATAACAAAAATTTTATGTTGAATATTTTACAAAAGCGAGAAAGTTTTCATTTATACATATCAGCAAATCATATATACTGTCAATGCTATATAGCCTTGCAGGCCCGGCCAGTAACCCACCTTGAGCAGAAAGATGGTATGATTTAAAACATCCAGACCAGGATTAAAAATTGAAAATATGGGCCGATTAAAAAAAAATTGTTTTAATAGATCAAATTAATCAGTTGGAAAATTGTATATTGAAGTTTATAATATTCACTTTAGAGATCTGCAAAAGTAGACCAGCCTGCCGGTCTCGGGCCTAATTTTTTTTAAAAAATCGGGTTCGGGCCGGTCGGGTCTAATATTTTTAAGTAAAATTTGGGCCGGGTCGGGCCTTGGAAATTTTTTAAAATATAATTAAATTTATCAATTTTATATTGAATTATGCGCTTTATGACGTATGACTTATAGTCCTAATAAAAAACATAGAATATGTGTTCACTGTAATACCAAATTTAACATATCGTCAGCAACAAGTAACAAAATAATTGTTTATAATTTTTTAAGCAATAAATTAATCAAAATAAGCAGTATTATTATTAATATTTTGGTTATTATTTATATATCTATTTTTTCTTAAGAAACTGTCTGAATAATTCATTGTCAAAATAATTTAACCTTATTCTTAATAAAATAAAGGTACCTTAAGCAGACATTTGATAAAACATAAAATTTATACTTCTAATAATGAAAATATCTCAAAAACACAATCTACTCTTAATTTAAATATGCCCTCCACAAGTACAAAATCACTTTCTTCAATACCATTGGATAAATTCCAAACAGATCATATGAACCAACTCATTATAAAATGGGTAATAATGGACTCTCTGCCAATGAAGACTTTTGAAAGTTCAGGTCTTCATAATTTAATCAAATATTTAAACTCAACTGCTACAATTTGGTCAAAAAAAAAAGTTAAAAATTTTTATACAGCTAATTTGCGATATTGTTATAGGTGCTATTTATTTTTGGTTTTTCTGCTGTGATATTTATCTGGCCCTGGAGCTTTGCTTTTTCTTAATGTTTTTTTCTTAGTCTTTGCTCACTTGTTATTTTCATTTATGGAGAAACCAGTCGTCAGGGGGGTGGCGAGGTTTTGTAAATATGTTTTGTTGGTAGAGTCTTTCCGTGAGTGATAGACTATCATATAACAATCAAGCCAAAATGCCTTTTGTTAATCCTGGCCAACAATTACTTTTCCATTTCCTAAAACTTATGGAGCTGGTTCCTATTTCTGCGTCATAGTTTCCTTTCTCTCATATCTTTATCATTATCAAAGACCTTTTTCGCTATATAATCTATCTATCACTCCATAGAGTATTTTGTTTCTCTGAAAAAAGAAAAAAAATAACCGTTTGTTGTGTGGTGTTCGTTGCTGGATAGTCATAAACCGATTACTGACTAGTTTTTGCCTATTCACTGGAATCTTCACCTATTTTAAACAATTTGTGGTAAACCCATTTAGCTTTTCCTTATTTTCATGAATAAATTCTAATCTCAATTGATATGAACACATTCTCAATTATTGTTAGTAACTATCAAGGCTTACATTAGATGTTAAACTTAAAATTAGCCACCACCCACCCTTAAAGTAATTAAATTATTTTGGCAGTTCATGGGTATAGGCTTTTGTTTTGCCCATTTCTTTTTGTTGATTAGCCTATAGACGTTTAAGCAACAGTTCTCGGACTGTTGCGCGTACAAGTACGTGCGGCTTGCCCACAAACGTGTGAAGGGCTCCTCATTTTTTTCTCTCCCCTTAATTAACTATCCAGTTTGATGGATTTTTGAGGAAAACCTAGCGTAGCTCTGTTGTATCCACAACCAGAGGGCGAAAACGCTTTTATCACGTATCACGTAATTTTGAGAAACTAAGAAATTCTCTAAAAAATATTTTAAATAAAAATAATTCTTTAATAAGCTTTACCACAGATATGTGGAGCAATATAAATAAAATATCATTTATAGACATTACTGCTATTGATTCTTCTTTGACATTAAAAAATATTTTACTTGATATAAATCATATCCCATTTCCTCATACATCTGAAGAAATATCCTTAGCTATAAAAGAAGTAATTGAAGTATATCAATTGGAGGAGAATATACTGGCCTGTACTACAGATAATGCCAATAACATCCTAAAAAGCATGGATATTTTGCAAAATATTTATAAGGAACAAAAATTTAAAGGCTTTAGATGTTGTGCCCATATTCTAAACCTAATATCTCAGGAAGGTTTATCATATATTACAACTATCCTAGAAAAGTGTAGAGACATAGCCTTTTCTATAAATAAATCACCAAAAATAAATCAAGCATATGTACATATATGTGAAAATAAGGGTATTACAAAATTTAAAATCCCTTCTGATTTCCCTATTAGATGTAGCTCCTATTTAATGATGAATACAATTTATGAGGTATTTACATTTTTATCCAATTATTTTTAAAAAATATTTAATTTTTAGAACATGGATGCTAAGAAGAAGTACTTTTTTTGAATTACAAACAATTTAAAGGGGTTTTCTTTACTGAGTCTTAAAGAGGCTGTAGATTAAGGCCCTTCTATAAAACCACACTTGATTTATCAGGATCCAAATATCCTACAGTTGGGATTTCCATGTTATATATGGAGAATATAAATAATGAAATTTTAAATAATATAAAAAAGGATAATAACAATACAAGAAAAGAAATTCTTAATAACATGCTGGTTAAAATGCAGAAATATCTCAAAGAATTATTTTGCTATAAATCATATGTCTCAACATGATTGGATCCGAGATTAAAACAAGTTTACATGCCTAACACTCTTAATAGAATTGAGTATATGACCAAATTTTCAAAATATTTAAGGAAAATAGAAAATAGAAAATAAAAAAAATACAGGAATAACGGATTCTCAGGTATATTTTTAATATTTATTTATTAAATTCTAATTTTCAAACATTTGTGCCAGGAGGAAATCAATGAATTTAGTTTCTTAGAAAGAATTTTATCCCAAAAATGAAATTCAGAAGGGGATTATATATCGGCAGAAATCATTGAAGAAAATATATCAGAACTTCACACCTATTTGAATGAACCTCTTGTTTCATTAAAGGATGACATATTAGTATGGTGGAAAGCCAATAGTGAAAGGTCTTTTATATTTTTTAAATAGTCAATATAGTTTATTATATAGATTTCCAGTCCTCTCATTAGCAGCTAGAAATTTTTTAGCAATTCAAGCAACATCTGTCCCCTGTGAACAAATATTTTCGAAAGCAGGAGATCTTGTCACTAAAAAAAGGAATAGGCTTTCAAACAAAACAATACAAGCTTTGATGTGTATGGGCTCTTGGTTAAAGAATGGAATAGATCTACCGCCTCCATTAAGTCCCTCTTCTAATTCCTTCCAAGGAAGTTCTACAAACAAAGACATTAGCATTTATTTAAATTAAATATTTGTATTAATTATTATATTATTCATAATTAATTTTATATTGTTTATATAATACTCTTATATTTAATAAAATGATAAAACAAATTAAATTAGGTTAAAAAAATATGTTTTTTAAACAAATAAAAAGACAGGTCCTGGACCAGTCTTTTTATTTAGAACTACGGTCTGGATCGATCTTTTTTTAAGGACCGTGGTCCGGTCCGAGGGTGTCGGTCCAGTCCGGACCAAAGACCGGACCGTGACCTTCACTATTGTAGAGAAAATTTGACAACTTACAAAATGCAGGTTTCCCTTTAATTTTCTTCATTAGTATATAAATAAATCATATTTAGATCAAAGCTTGAATAATTATCGCCATTATTATTATTTTTTAATGCGAAGAAAAGGCTTGTAAGAACGGGCCTAATACGTCTATTTTTGGCAGAGTTTGAAACTGAACTATTATTAACATCTTTTATAATATATAATCTGTATGGGAGAAATTTAAATATATACATAAAATAGGATAAATTCACATAACCTATAATTTAATGTTAATTTAATACCTTGAAAACTAAAAATATAAAGGGAAAAATTTGTTGGCGTTTGACCAATATTAAATTGCAAATAAAATGGGATTTTATTAATATAATTTTTCTACTTTTTGTTAAGGCTGTGTCCTAAATGAAAAAAATAACATAATCTATTTTTAATGTAAAAATAAAATAGTGTTCTAAATCATTTTTCGATTATTTATTATATTTTTTCATTTGATACAGCCTAAGATAAATTTTAAACAATAAAAATAATTTTTTTATACTTTCCCTTGTCATTTATTCAAAAAAATTCAACCTTGTATAGAAAAAGTTTAAATTATTATTTTTATTATTATAATGAAACAAGTAAATATTAATTATAGTCAAACATAATATAATAATTAATATTCAGAAATCAATAAATAAAATATAATTTGTTAATTATTTATTCGATTTTGATGGTATGAATATTTTAATTTTAGAGGGTAAATTTCTGGACAAATCATTATCTTTTATAGCCTTGATCAAAGCACGTTCTAATAAGCATGGATTAGTTGTACTTGTGTCTAATATAAAAAAAATCTAAATAATAAAAGAAATAAGCAGAAGATATGTTAAATTAACATTGAAGTAGTTATCATAGTATTTAAAATATCTATTTTTTTAAGGTTAAGCGGTAGTGGTTTACAAATAAAATTATCAAGTCATGTTCGGTGGGAATTTAGTCTTTGCCCGGCTGCAATTTTTTACTAAAGTTGCCAGGCCTGTTATCATTTTTACTAAAGTTGCCCAGTCCGGTTTTTTTAAATAAAAAATGCCTAACCCGAAATATTTCAACTATCTATAATATTGGAGAGTGGTTAAAAAACACTACATTTTATATATCATTTTTATAAAAATATCAGAATTCACCAATAAGTCGAATACATTCCATAATATGTCCTATTTCTGCCAATAATAATTTGTTGCTTTGAGATTAAATTAAAAAATAATAATTTGTTATCATTAAAATTATATTCTCTAATTTCGGGCCCGGCATATCTAATATTTGCCAGACCCGGTGTAACGTCCTAGAATCACTCATGTATTTAAATCACTCTTTATGGCCTATTTTAATGAGTAAATTTAATACTTATTCTTCTATTATAATGTATTTACATATCTGAGTAAGTTTTTACCAGTGTATTTGCAATAATGATATATTTTTAAAAAATGTTTTATAATTTAATTTCAATTTTTTCTAACTTGTCAATCAAAAAACATAAATTTTCTATAAAATTATTATTTTTGACCATTTTCCTCTTAGCCATGACAGTTGATAAAGAAGAAAGTAAATTAAATATTTAATATTTATATAACTTTTTTAGATTATGAAGAAATTAAAAACTTCATAATGTACCATAAGTATATAATTATCCCACCCGTTTAGCAAAGAACAATGGGGAAAAGAGGAATTTAAGGGTGAAAGCATCTAGGTTTACTATGCGCAAAGAAAAATTATATCACCATAAAAATAATGGGGAAGTTATTATTAACATAATTAGGAGAAAAGAAATTATTAAATCACATCACAGTGGTTGTAATGATAATATTGAAACAGTATCTCTTGCTGGCCATTTTGGCATTAACAAGACTTATAAAAAATTGGCTGATAGGTAAAATGTATTTATTGTCATAATTAATATTATATTTTAGCTTCTGGTGGCCATGATGTAGTCACATTTTCCTGTGACACTTGTCAAAGATGTAATACAAGATTTGATAAAACTACAAATGAGTTACAATCAATTCCTGTTAGAGCAAAGGTAGTAAAATTTATTATATAAAAATCACTGATTTGTTAAATTTTTTATAGTTTTAGTCATTTTAACTGTATATAATGTTTTTTTATATATTTTTTACTTATAGTTTTATTAATGGTATGACAATATTATATATATGTGACACTTATTTTTATATATTATGTTATTTTCACATATTGAACCATTTAAATTTTAAGTTAGTTTATTATATCTTCTTTCCTTATTAGAAGAACCATATAAAGTGGTGGGTAAACAAATTTATTAAATTATCCATTGAATCTTTTTACATGAAATATATGATATGTCCATTTTAGTTTATATAGTAAAGCCTCTACAATTTCAGATTATAATTTATATGAATTTTTTTACTTGGCCCATCTCTAACCTTTTAACCACACTAAAATTAATTAACAAGATTAACTCTTTTTAATATAATAAAAAAAATTTTATAACAGGTATGGTCACAAATAGGAGTAGATTTGTGTACTTTGCCAGAAAGTGAGGATGGCTATAAATATATTGCAGTAGCTGTTGATTACTTCAGCAAATATGTTGTAGCCATGCCTTTAAAGGATAAAACTCTCAGTATCGAAATTCCTTTCATTACTATGCACATATGGCAGGGCAAAAGTATGATTTATTTGATAATAAATATTAATTTTAGTTTTAAGATTCAAATTAATGATCAAGGACGTGAGTTTGTGAATGAAGTTAGCACTAATTATCACAAACTCGTGGGGACCATGCAGAGGGTGACAAGTGCTTATCACCCTCAAGCAAATGGCATGGTTAAAAGGGTGAATAGAACTATCAAAAATGCACTTCTAAAGTGTATTAAAGATGATCAATTGACTTGGACAGATGCCCTGCCTGGCATATTATTTAAGAATTGATAAAATTGATTTTTTAATATAATAGTTGCCCCGCCTCACAATTTGAAGATTGCGAAGTGGACATGCAAAATAAGAAAGGTAAAAATTTGTATAATTAGTATATTAATAAATATTTTTTAGATGGTGAAATTATATTAGATACTGTAATTTCTAAGAGGAGACAAATCTTTTTCTGCCTACTAACATGGAAAATATATCATTCTGAACGCTTTCATTTTGCGATCAAGAAAAGATATCCAAAATATGATAAGGGTGTGATTGGAAATGATTATTCTACCGAACGGATTATTGGTGATGGAAATTGTCTCTTCAGGTATTTTTATTTACAATAAATTATTGTATTATTATAGATGTATAAGCAAAGAAGTTTGTGATGACGAAAGCCATTATAATTTCCCGAGACAGCAATGCTGTCTCTTTATGAGAAGCAAAGATATTGTTGAACAGATGGAGGGGTTTTTGGGAGAACCCGTTGATGTATATTTGGAGAGAACGGGCATGGCCCTAAATGCAACTTATGGAACAGAGGTGGAGATAGTTTCTATGGCAACTATGCTTCAGACAAATATTGTTATTCATATTATTTATAAATGGGCTTATTATACCCTAATAAAAATATTACATAATATCAAAAAATTTAATGTAAATATATATTTAAGAAATTATTGCGAGAATTTTGACTGCATAATAAATTTTATTTAATCTTATTTATATCGCGTATTTTATTCAAATCATATATATGTATACATATCACGTATTTTATTCACAACATATATCTTAACTATATCGCGTATCTTATTTACATCATATATCTTAATTATATCGCGTATCTTATTTATATCGCGTGTATTAATTATATCGCGTAACCTATTTATATCGTGCAGAGTTGTTAAAGTAGCTCGCTACTTGTAGCGCGCTACTTAGCGCGCTATCTTTTTTGGTAGCTATAGCTAATAGCCGCTACTTTTTTTAAAATTATTTAATTTTTTAGCGCGCTACTTTTTTTAAAAGTAGCTAAGTAGCGCGCTACTTCGCTACTTTTAAAAAATATAATGAATGTAAGTATAAACATGGAAATTTAAATATAATATCATAATTAATTATAATTTTTATAATTTATTATTTAATTTGGAAATTTAAATATATTTTCAATTTTTAATTTATATTTTCAATCTGTGTTAATAATCTAAAATGGCATCGCCCATGGATATCCAAATTCTTGAAAGTGATTCAGACATGGAAGATTCAATGGAAGAAAATGTACTTAATAACTCTAATAACGATTTCCCATTCCCTAGATTTGAAAAAATTTTTTAAATAAATATTAAAACAAAATCTGGATTCAAATTCCTGTGCTTAAAATGTAAAAAAAATATATCATCAAATCAATCGAGTAGCTATAACCTGAAGAAACACCTAAAGGTAAATTGTTATTTTTACATTATAATATTATTTATTTTATTAGACTGTTCAAGCCAATTGCTATAAGGAAATAGAGAAACATATAAAAAATTTTGGTATAGGAGAATCTTCATTCAAAAAGACAAATACTATCCAAACCAAATTAACTGATAAACATGCCAATATTTCACAAAAATAGGCTGATAAAGTAATTGTTGATTTTATAATTGACACAGTTCAGCCATTGTCCTTGGTTGATAATCCATCATTTACTATGATGATTAAAACTTTATCCCCTGGCACAACAGTTTTATGTCGCCAGACACTTGTGGATAAAATAGACGACAACTTCAAAGTGATGAAAGATGCTCTAATAGTAGAGTTATCAGATATATCTTATGTATGTACCACGGCAGATAGTTGGACACATAACAGAAGGTAAAAACTTATTTATATTTATAAATTGATCTGATTAAATATTTTTAGAGCTTCCTTGCCCTCAAGTGCTAGTGTAGAGAGATTATTTAGTAAAGCAAAGCTTATACTTTCTGATCGTCGCTCTAGACTTGGGGATGATAATATTGAAATGATATTATTATTAAAATGCAACAAATTAAAATAAATATTTATTTATATTACTTATTTTTTTATAATCTAAACTAACTATATTTTTATATTTATAAATGTTTATTTTTATATATTATTTATTATACATTTACATTATAAGCAAAAAAAAAAATAAAAAAAATTTGTTTCATTTGTTTCTAAAAATTTTTTTATAAAAAGTAGCTTAAAAGTAGCTAAAGCTACTTTTGAAAAAAGGTAGCTAATAGCGCGCTACTTTTTTTGACAAATAGCGAAAGCGGTAGCGCGCTACTTTTTTTGGCAAATAGCTATAGCGGTAGCGCGCTACTTTTAAAAATAGCGTTTAACAACTCTGATATCGTGTATCTTAATTATATCGCGTATCTTATTTATATCATATTTTTTTAAATAAGTTTTGACCTTTTTAAGTTATAAATAAATAAATTTTGCAAGGAGAATAAAAATTGTTATAAATGTCAAATAAGTGTATAATTTTTATAATGATGTTAATATCACTATATTTATTATATTTAATCATTACAAGTAGTCAAAAATGTCAATTTCCTTAACTAAATGAGTAATTTTTATAAGGAGTAAAACAAGTCAGTTTAAAATGTCAATATCATTAAATAAGTGAGTAGTTGTTATAAGGAGTAAAATATGTCAGTCAAAAATGTTAATTTCCTTAACTAAATGAGTAATTTTTATAAAGAGTAAAACATGTCAGTCAAAAATATCAATATCACTAAATTTATTATATTTAATTTTTACAAGTCAGTTAAAAATGTCAATATCACTAAATTTATTATATTTAATTTTTACAATTCAGTCAAAAATGTCAATATCACTAAAAAATATAATATTAAATTTATGCACGTCAATCGTAAATGTCAATATCACTAAATAAATGAGTAATTTTCATACAGAGTAAAAATAGCACGTTACACCGGCCCAAAAAAAATTCAGACGTTATCAGACCAAAATTTTTTTAACTTATTGAAAAATTCTTGTAAAAATATTATACAATTATTTTAAGACTTAATTTTTATTCTAGCTATAATTCTTAAAAAATTATGTTATGTTGTAAAGAAACATATTTAAAATCTTAGTTTACCCTATAAATAAAAAAAGTCATAAACTACCCTTTTTAAATCATGATTGTTAAATTTTGCTATTTAAAAAAATATAGTGCTAACTTAAGGATGGAAGTCTCGTTCCGAATATGGAAGGGTCATTCGTCACATTTGTCCAAACGTTTGCAGCCGCTAAAAAGTAGGCAAGAGCAGCTTTAGCGGCTTTTCCTCTTTTACTAAAACCAGGTATGCATTTCACCTTGTACGCAAAATTTCTCAAAGCTGTGTAGGGTCCGCAAACGGGTAGAGCATAAAGGATTGAATCCTCTTCCATTTTTTCCTGCGATTCAGCCTGATGATGAGCATCTTGCTGCAAACTTTGCAAAGGATTATGGTAGGAAGGTAAACCCGTGAGCGAGTAAAGTAGAGAGGAAAGGTTGTCGGAATCTTCCTGGTTATCGTCTCCTTCCGGGTCCGTGTCAGGACCTGAGTCATGAGGTCTGGTTTTAGATAAAGAAATAGACAAGAAAAAATATGAGGAAAAAAAGTTAGTTAGAAAAAGTAAAATGAATAATGTTTCAAATAAAAATTATGAATAAAAATACATAATAAAATGTACAGCTAATGACGAACTATTTAAAGAGTTTGTTCAAAATGGAATATCAACAAGTGAAAGGAGAAGGAGAAAAAAAGTAAAGGTTGGTAAGTATTATGGTTGAAAAGAAATATTACTGGTCGACGATATGGCTCCCGTTCTCCATATCATTATCAACAATGTTTGAAATTTTTAGTTTATCGAACTCAGTGATTTTATTTGGATCGTGTGATTTATTAACTATAACAAATTTTGATAAAATATAAATTATAACATTAATTACAATTTAATATAATATAAATTTATTTTTAGGAATTTTAACAGCTTTTCTCATTGAATTTTTCCATCACTTTTCAAAATAATAGTGAATCCCATTAAAAAAAAACTTAGAATATATTTTATTAAATTTTTATAAACATGTATCATTTCAAATTCTAGTTTACCATTTAATATTAAATCTTTTTTGCCTTTAAAAGCTCTTTTTCTAGCTTTGGTCATTTTGTTATTTTCTGCAGCAGCCTGTAAGTGTATTTTTATGAAAATTTATAAATCCATCGCATTTATACAAATTTAAAGCTGCCCCCGGGTTTTTCAAAGATTCGAGTTCGATCGAGAATTTTATTTTATTGTACTATTTGAAAAAGTACATTTCAACGAAATCGAAAAAATTAAAAGAGTTAAAAGATAATAACAATTTCGTATATTCTTGAATATAATATAAATAAAAATAATTATTTTGACGATTTTGAGTCTGATCCAGTTCGAAAAAAATCCAACCGAGTGCGAGAAAATGTCTAGAGTCTAACGACCAGATTTGATCTGATCTATCCGACTCTATCGAGTAGTAATGATATTTATTCTATTGTTTAAGATAAACCTTTTTATAGGACGAGGTTGGGACTTAATAGGTACATAAAAAAAATTCAGGATCCGTAACCGGGAAAAAAATTGGATCCGATACATTCTCTAATAATTTTATATTGAAATTTGTTAATTTTTTTGCGAAAAAGGATATCATTTTTTGAATGTAAAATCAATAGATGGCGTTTAGTAAAATTAAATATCAAAATAAAATGGATGGATGGATAAATAAACAAAATTAATCTTAACCAAAATTCTAATATTGATATAAATTTTAATATTTTAGTTTTGTTTCGTATTATCCAAATAAAAAAAATACTAACAGCCAAAAGTTGAATCTTGAACATTTTTTCTTGCTCATCTTGGTCTTTGTATTTATCTTTAATTTTTTTGAGTTTAGCTTTTTGACGTCTTTTGGCGGGAGCATTTGAATCGGCAATATCGTTGGCTGGCTCAATTTTATCACTTTTTTCTATAAATTCTTTAACCGCTTTTAGTTTGGCTTTATTTTTTTCCTTTTTTTAATTTAAAAAAGAAGAGAATAAAGAACATTTTTTTACAAATAAAATCTCGGAAGAAAAATAAAAAGCAAACACATAAAAATCACAAAAGATTTTTTAAAATTTTATTTATGAAATTATGAGTAAATTACCAAATGAGCATTCTTAAAAAATCTTATTTTTTGTGACCTAAATATTTTTCCTCAAAATTTTGGGTGAAAAAAAAATCCTCTAAATTTTCAAAGAAGATTATTTTGCTAAGCTGAGCTTCATAAAAAAAATCATCATCTAAATTGAGTCCTAAGACACAATGTACTTTAGACAATCCTCGACAAAATGTTTGATCGAAAAACTGATTATTAGTTTGGTATTTGTTATAATTTCCGGTCCGTTTAATTTCTTTAGAATTTTCCGGCCGGCAAATTTTTAATGCCTATATTTAATTTTATACAATATCAATTAAGGCTCTTATATCTCTACTTTATGGCTATTATCAATTAAGGCTCTTGAATCTTTACTTTATGGCCATCTATTCTATAAAAACCGTTTTATAAATAAATTATGTTTTGTTTATATCTGTATTGTGTATTTATATCATATCAAAGATAACTTGTTTAATTTTTTGTTAATTTATTATTTTATTTATATACTTAGCATTAATTAAACAGCTCTTAAAATAATAAAGAAATAGCATATTGTAATTTATTTTCAAATAGTATTAATCAAAATTGATATAATAGCTTGAAATTTAAAATAGTATATATCAAAATTTTAATACCCGGGTTGGCCCATTAAAATAATAAGAGATTTAGATATTTTAAGTATCAATTTCTCGGCCCGTTAAATTTTTTCTCCAGCCTGTTATAATTTTTTATAAATTTGCCTAACCTAGCCCGAGGGCCAAGCGTTGCAGATTTCTAAAGGCCACAGAGAGAAGACATGCTAAGATAAGATGGGAACTTCGCAACGAAAAAGGGATAAAATCTATGATATAAATTATTTTTTCTTGTTAATAATTTTAAGTACAAAAAGTATGATATGGATAAATTATGACATTTATTAAATATTGTTATAAATTATAATATAATGATATATAAGTAATAAAAGTAATATTCGTATCATGTTGTCATTCTCTTTAATTCAGATAGTATAACTTAAAAACTTAAATTGAATATTAAAAAAACACCAATCTAATAATCAGTGTCAATCGGATATTTTTCAGTTTCATTTTGTCCCTGTATATTTTGTCAATTGGACATTTTGACCGGTCACGGCTAAATGTATTTTTGCGCGGTTACCGATTTTTTTTAAAAAAAACTCGAACTTGATAATAAATTTCAAAGGATCAGCTAAGTAAAAAAAAATACAAAGAAAAATAAATTTTAATTTTTTTTAAAAAAAGAAACTTTTTGTCGGCTTTGGGGTTTTTGCTGCATCGATGTTAATATAGACGTTGTGTCATTATCCGGTAGAAGCTAAATTAAAATCATAATTATTATATCACTTTTTCTTTCTTTCATTCTTCCTATGCTGATACCAATACCAACATGGTATAAGCCTTGCCCAAAAATTTTTTTTTATTATATGTGGTAGACCTATTCCAAAATGATGAATAGGAAATTATAGGTTTTCTTCTAATATGAATAATTATCAGAACAAAATGAAATTATACAATATTTTTTTAAAAAATATAAAATGAATAATTTAAATAAAAATTTTATTATATAATTATTTCAAGATTTATATGAAATAGTATTTTTAATTATTTCATAGTTTTCTTTAGTGTTGTTAAGCGGCTAAGTCGAGTCGACTTAGCTGCGACTCGAGCCTAGTTTCTAGTCGAAAAAAGGACCCCAATTCGAGTCGACTAAATGTACCATATTAGTCGGCTCTATTAGACGGGTTGTTTAGTCGACCCCCGAGGCGATTTTATATATAAAAAATTTATAAAATTATATATAAGAATTCATAATCATAACTTTTTAATATATATATACATCAGACCTGCAGGGTACGATTACCATTAAAAAATAATATCATCCTTTTTTAATTAAATCTCACCATATAACTTTTCATTCATTATGTATATGCCTAGTTTATTTTTATACTATTTAATTTTTTGGACATTCTTTTGAAATCCCTTATTTTGGCATTTTAATTATATCATTTTTGATTTATTTATATCAGAGATATTATATTATAACAAATAAAAAAGGAAAATAAAGTTTTATTATTATTTTATTTTTTGAAAATAATATTTCTGCAGATTTCATTTGTATATATTATTTAATAATTGGTAAGTCATTGAAACTAGGGGAAATTTTATATATTTTTTATTTGGCTCTTGGTGGAAATTTTTTAATGCAATAGTAATTCAAAGTTTCATTACTCAAAAGATTTAAGAATTGTAAAAATTTTGTGAAAATTTTCACAATTCTTTAAATTTACCTTAAAAATGGCATATATATTTTTTTTTGTTTAATTCGCGTTATTTTCGATATTTAAAAATTTTTGTGGCCATTGTTGTAATATTCAGTTATTATTATTTAAATTGTGATAATATTCAAACAAAGATAATGTTTTATTAAATTATTTTAGTCTTAGACTATGCAAATAAGATGAAAATGCGTGATAATTGTAAATTTTTCATATCTTAAGGGTTTAACAATTGGAGTTATTCACTTTTTATTTATTTCTTTAAGTTATAAATTTAATTTTTAATCTTTTTCTTTTAAATTTTTCTTTTAAAATTTTATTTTTTAACTTTAACTTTATTATGTTTTCACTGTATAATCATTATTATATTATTTATAATTATGCAATAAAATTATGGTTATATATGAGTGATTCCAAGTCAAATCGACCAAAAAAACGAGATTTTCGGCCGACCATCTCAAAAATGAATAAAACTTGGCGTGATTTATGTTGTAAATGTTAATAAAATCAAAATTTTAGAGTGCTAGCTCAATCAGATCCAAAGATATACGCCTTCAAAGTCGAAAATCGCGAAGTGCGTGATTTCATTAAATCTTGTTATTTTAAAAATTACTTAAGATAGAGTTACAAATTATATATCATTTTATAGCCCTTAAAATTTTAAGTTGGAAAATATTAAAAAAAATAAAAATTTTTCAAGTGTTTTCTTATTTCCGTTGAAAATAAAAAAATTAGGGATTTTTTTTGGGTGTTAATATTCACTAAAAATGTTTATTAATAATAAACGATTTAATAAAAAATCTCGATAGCCATTTTTGTTTTTTTAATTTTATTTGAATTTTTATAAATAAAAAAATGTAATATAGATGTTATATTATTATTTTTTTATAATATATAATTTTTAATTAAAATATGAATAGTATTGTGATTAAAATTAAAAAATCAATTGAGTATAATCAAGAATAATGTCCTGGGGCGATATGTAAGCAGGCAGCCCATACAGATATTATTTTATTGATGCTATATTGTAAAATAAACATATTTTAAAATTTTATATTCAATCTATTATAATTTTGCGCTTATTAATAGAAATTCCTAAGGTCATAATTTATAGATATATCCTTTCATTGTTGTGGATCTACTATCTTTATTATTTGAATAATAACGATTTTATCAGCTTATTTTATTTTTTTATTCCTATCATCGTTACCAATCAATCATTATATATTTCAAAATTAAACATTTTTTACAACCAAATGAATTTATGATAATTTGTGATTTCTCTGAAAATTATGCATTGTAATCCAAGACGCTGTTCAAGGATTCCACTGGAATAATCAAGCCACTATCCATCCTATGATAGCATATTATAATAATATGGCAATATAGAAAACCTTAATTATATGGTAATATCAGAGTCACTTCAACATGATGTTGTTGCAGTACATTTATACTAGACTAAAATGATAAAATTTTTGACCAATCAATTCAGCAAAAAGCCAAACAAAATATATTACTGCTCTGATTGATCAACTGCGCAATATAAAAACAAAAATATTTTTATAAATCTGTGTTATCATAAATCATATTTTGGTGTAGCTGCTGAATGGCATTTTTCTGCTACATCCCATGGAAAAGGTCCATGTGACGGCCTTGGCGGAACATTAAAAAGATTAGCAGCACGTTCAAGCCTTCAGTGCATCAGTTCTGGACATATTTTAACGCCAGTTGATTTATATCAGTTTGCAAAACAACACATGCTATCAGTAAATTTTACATATATAACCAACGAACAATACAATTTACAAGAGATTAAACCGAGAAAGATTCAATTTAGCTCGTCTCATTCCAGGAACTCGGGAAATACATGCTGTATTTTTTTTGAGTTTAAGTAAACTTAAATCAAAAATATATTCATATGCAGTGGACTTTCAAATTAACAATATCTCAAATGCCGATGATTGTCTTATGCAATTTGTTTTTGCCGATATTAAAGGATTCATTGTAACATGTAATTTCTAATGTTTTCTTATTTCAGGTAAAAATAAAAAATTAACATTGTTAGGAAGTGATTTTTTTAACATTTTTTACAACCAAATGAATTTATGATAATTTGTGATTTCTCTGAAAATTATGCACAATCCAAGACGCTGTTCAAGGATTCCACTGGAATAATAATCAAGCCACTATCCATCCTATGATAGCATATTATAATATGGCAATATAGAAAACCTTAATATTATGGTAATATCAGAGTCACTTCAACATAATGTTATTGCAGTACATTTATACCAGATTAAAATGATAAAATTTTTGACCAAATCAATTCAGCAAGAATCCAAACAAAATATATTACTGCTCTGACGGATCAGCTGGGCAATATAAAAACATAAATTTTTTTATAAATCTGTGTTATCATGAATCAGATTTTGGTGTAGCAGCTGAATGGCTTTTTTCAGCTCATCCCATGGAAAAGGTCCATGTGACGGCCTTGGCGGAACATTAAAAAGATTAGCAGCACTTTCAAGCCTTCAGCGCATCAGTTCTGGACACATTTTAACGCCAGTTGATTTATATCAATTTGCAAAACAAAACATGCCATCAGTAAATTTTACATATAAAACCAACGACAATCTGTCCCATTCCCCAGGAACTCGAGAAATACATGCTGTATTTCATTTGAGTTTAAGTAAACTTAATGACAATTTTTGGTGGTTAGCCACAGTACTAAAAAAGAATGAAATTACTGAAGAGATATATATTTCCTTTTTACATCCCCATGGACCATCACCATTCTTCTTTTACCCAACAATTGCGGAAAAGATATGGTTACCCATTAATAAATAATAACAATAGTCCTATTACAGTGACAGGACGTACATACAAATTATCGTCTCAAAAAATTCTATTAATAAGCACAAAATGGGATAAGATTAAAACAAGAGGTATTTATTTTTATATTGTTTGTATATAAAATTTTAAAATATGTTTATTTTACAATATAGCGTCCTAATAAAATCTGTATGGGCTGTCTGCTTACATATTGCCCCAGGACATCATTCTTGGTTATACTCAATTGATTTTTTAATTTTAATTACAATTTTATTCATATTCTTATTAAAAATTATATATTATAAAAAAAATTAATATAACGCCATCTATATTGGATTTTTTTATTTATAAAAATTCAAATAAAATTAAAATTAAAAAAACAAAAATGGCTATTGAGATTTTTTATTAAATCGTTTAATATAAAGGTAATAAACATTTTTAGTGAATATTAACACCCAAAAAAAATCACTTCCTACCAATGTTAATTTTTTATTTTTACCGGAAATAAGAAAACATTTGAAATTTTTTAATTTTTTTTAATATTTTCCAACGTAAAATTTTAAGGGCTATAAAATGATATATAATTTGTAACTCTATCTTAATTATTTTATAAAATAACAAGATTTAATGAAATTACGCACTTCGCGATTTTCGACTTTGAAGGCGTATATCTTTAGATCTGGTTGAACTAGCACTCTAAAATTTTGATTTTACTAACATTTAAAACATAAATAACTAACATGCTAAGTTTCATTCATTTTGAGATGGTCGGCCGAATCGCTGGTCGATTTGCCCATATATTTAATTATTTTATTTTTCTTTAAGGGACCTTCGATTTTTTACAATATAGCAATTATTGATTGATACTATTCTTTCTTCACAATCTTTGTCTCTCCTAAAGCCCGTTTTAAATCATCTTGATAACTTATTTTAGTCTATGCTTGTTTCTAACATTCTCTTGTAACTAATAACTCTTTATCGAGGTAATTGACTATAACTGGTAATTGAATACGATTGCTTGTAAACGATATCGAAGAATTCTAGTTTCTTTTTCAACTTTTGTTTCTTATAGTCCTTCTTAAATTCTTTTGATAAATTAACCTAGTCTTTGCTTGTTTCTAACGGTCTCTTGTAATTAAGCACATTATCTCGGTAAACGAATGTCGATAATTTGTCTGCGATAAGATTGTTTTCACGAATTCTTGTTCCTATGATTGTCGATTTCCTTATCTTACACTTAAGTGTTTCGGTAAACAATTGGCAATATTGGTAAGCGATTAACGATTGCAGCATGAACATCTTGACCATTTGTTCTATCTAGTCGCATGTTTTCAACGTTCTCTTGTAATTCATTAGTTCTTTTCATCTAATTCTTGTAACCGTATCAATCTTTTAGACTTTCGATTTTTCTACTAAGTTTACACTTACCGAGATATCGACTTTGTCTTAAGGTCTCTTTATTGTCACTTGATATTTGTCTTAAGGCCTCAGGTAATGGCATCCTACTTCTACCTAAAATAATCTATTTAGCCCTTAACTTCTGAAATATTTTATCACTTTTTCTTAAAGCCATTAGCTGAAGTTAATTTAACATATAAAAATTTTTCCCTCTTTTTATAAATTACATAAATTTTACCGAGATCATAATTTCATAAACCATGGTTTTTTTAAAAGATCATGAGCTTCTTATAAATCACACGTGTTGTTATAATAGCATGAAAATGGAGAAAAATTCAGCTTCTCTTATAGAGTGAAAATAGGCCTGCGCGTCGATGTCTCAATCGACGAAGGCGTTATTTTTTAATTTTTTCATCGGCTTTCGACGGCGCGCCTATTTCGGCGGCGGCCTCGATATTTATTACAAAAAATTTTTATTTAAATAAATCATGTATTTTTTAATGAATTTAATTTATATATCAAAGTATTACATTTTTTTATAATTTATGGGCTCTTTTCTAACACTAACATAGTTTAATCCATTTCTTAAATTATTTCCTGTCTCACTCCCTTTTAAATTTATGTATTTTCTAATTCTCAGAAATAAACTATGGAATTGCATTTTTACTCAGATCAGTCACATAAACAACACATATTAGTAATATTCTATTGATTTTTATTATAAAAAATTAAAATATAAATTTGGAATGCAAGCTAAATAATATAAAGTATGAAATATAATAAATCAGAATTCAGATTCAGAAAAATTATAATTGTCATGAATATAAATAGTATTTTATCATAATTCGTGGGACATAAAGAAGTCCTTTTTGCATTGAGTATTAATCCAGCAATGGAAAAAATTCTTTTGCGGGTATGCAAAGACCTTCCTAGCTAAATTAGCAAGCCTAAAAAATTCCTGTGACTTTTTCTTCCAAAAGGTTAAATGTGCATCCTCTTTTGGGATATTATGTTGGCTGAGCAAAATATGGCATTCTTGTTCTAGATTACTAATGTTGTTATAATCGTTGGTTGGAAGGGAATGTTTACGAACAATTTTATCTGTATAAGAACTGGATGCTTGCCCATTATCTTCATGAATCTCATTCTGTGCATTTCTATCATGTTCTAAAAGTTTTAAATGTCTAATTAAAAATTGCAACGATGTCGTAAAATTTGAATAAATATTCTGAAACAATTTTAAGATTTGAAATCTGGGATCAAACAGAATCGCTAATATCTAATGTTTAAAATATAATTTTATTAATAAAATATAAAATAACTTGAAGTTCAGTAATGAGAAACCTATGGTAAAGCTTTTTTTATACTTCTTTTAAGTAAATAATATCTGAGCAACAGATCTATTGCTTAGTAGGGTTTCATTTCAACCTTAAGTTTAATGTCGATCCCTTTTGGGAGGAAAGAAATTCCATCAACTCTCTAAATACTGCGTAAAGCTCATTAATCCTATCCCATTCATTATTAAAGAGTTTTAAAGATTGTTTTCCTATTTTTAGAACATTATTTATAGGAATTTTGTTTACACTACGAACACTTCTAGCATAATTAATATGCTGTGACAGCTGGTAGGGCAATTTAATTTTAAAGTTTTTGTATTAATTAGATTGGTTGGTACAATGTCATTTCTGGTATCCGATTCATCAGATATATCAAAATGGTCATCAAGTATGAATCAGATCCATCAATATCCAAGATATGACTGTTACATAAATTGACTGCAGACATTTACAATGCTTTTCCTCAATTTCACATTCCAAATCAGCTACTCTATATCTGAGGGCTGAAATAATTTCTCTAATGTTTTTAAAATATCAATAAAATGGATTATGTTTATCCGAATCCTAATATTTTTTCCCCAATTTTAAGCAAAGTTCACAATAAATATAACCAGGAATTATTGTGCTTTTCTTATTTCCATTCTTCAAAAAAGATTTCCAAATTACCTCCAGACATAACTTGATTTATAATTAGTAGAGGGAGTTGTTATTTCAGAATTGTATATAGGGTAGTTTAAAACGTGCAAGTTCATAAAAATAATTAATATGTATTGTTTGTGGAAATGAAATACGATATATGAATATATGTAAATGATATAAACTATTCTATTATATATAGCAATAGAATATAATTCATATATTAATTTTATTAATGTTAATCTTCAAATTTAAATAATAATAATAATTTAATATATAAATATAATTAAACAGCATTCTAAAAATTATACACGCGGCGCCTCGGCTCGCACCGATGATCTCAATCGGCGGCTGTTCCGGCGTGAGCCGGTGGGGCACAGGTCTAAGTGAGATGCTCAACATGTTCAAGCAGCTATTCTATAAGGAATGGGGGTAATATGGATTGGGTCGGGCTACAATCTCTTTTAGAAAATCGATTTTCGATTTTAATGTTATCAAAATTTCCACCAAATAGTCTAAAATTCCTGAACCCTTTTTAGTTTCGACATAAATATTCTTAAAATAAAATGGAGATAATGTACTTTTATAATTTTTGTTCACATTAATTAGCAACCCATAATTTAGCAATTTACTACATTTGAGTTAGCCATTTATAAAAGCCGATTACAAAATACGTGTAAAAAAATAAATATCAAAAATTAATTTACTTATAAATAAATAAATTACAAAAATTGAGCCGACCCAGAGAGTCGACTAAGTGAGCCAACTAAGTAAGCCAACCAATAGTCGGCTCATACGGCTCCTTGATCGGCTTGAGTCGGAGCCGTTTTATAAGACTACGACTCGAGTTCCGAGTCGTAAGAACTCGACTATTTAACAACACTGGTTTTCTTACACCATTTTGAAATTTTTTAATATTACACGCGTTTTCTGAATTTTATTAGAGATTATTCTATCCAAAAATCAATATTTCAGTATAACTTAATAAATAAAAGTATAATTCATTTTTTTTAAACTCATTTTGTGATAAATTATTACATAAAAATCTGGCAGAATTATTAATATATTGACTGATTAATTATCGATCTCGACGATCAAGTTGACATAAAGTCCTCACATAAAGAGGGGTCATTTGGGAACAATATGAACATAGTAACAGATGAAATGGTGGCTTGAATCACTGCCAGAGCATTATAAAATGCAAATGAAGAACAACATATTATCTTTCAATCATTATAATAGGTTTCATTTAATTCATACCCGAATAAAAAGAATGATAGTAAAATTATTTTAAAAAACTTATATCAGCAACTTTTTATATATAAAAACTAATTTTAAAGATAATTAACCCTTTATAAATAATATGTTGCATTGATTGTAGATTTTATAAATAATCTTGATTCATTAATAAAATTAATATATTCTGCATATGCATATAGCATATTTACAGATAAGAGAACATTAAGAAAATAATAAAAAAAAAATAAGACTCACATTTTTCATTAAATATTTGGATCAGCTCAACTCAGGTTCCCTTTTTAGGGTTACAACTTATTTTATTGACAAGAATTTTAAACTAAATTGCACAAGAGTGCAATAAATAAATTCTGTCAGAATATTTTCGTATAATTATTAATAATATAATACGAATTATTCGAATTGGGTATAAATAGAAAATTTTATTGTATATGAATAATGCTCGATTTGAATAGGTAATATGTAGTTATCATAAAGTGGAATAAAATGCCGGATATAATTCATCAAAAATGTCAATTTATGAAGGTTAATTTTCATTTTTGGGGTATCAAACAGTGGTATTAGTTAAAATTGAAAGTATAGTCCGATACCGAGAGGATGAGTAAAATTATAATTTAAAAAACTTGAATCTGTGAATCTATGTGAGTAATTATGCTCGAAATTTCGGTGTCTGGAAAGGTGGGCTGAATATCTGATATTTTATTTATAAGAATATTATTAAAATAGAAATATAAAAAATCGCAAATATAATTTAAATGTATATTAGTTAGGCCTAAGAAACCTTCATCAACCTTGTCTCCGTTATTTTCATCCTCATTTTCTTCGTTCTCGTCGGATGCTGAAGATTTAACTTCTAATTCCTGTTCTTCCCTATTTAAAATAGTAAATATTATCTTGATTATAGGTTATGACTGATCTTTAACCTTAAAGATGAAATTATTATCTACTTTAAAATATATAAAACTCTTATGATTTGAGCATAAATTTTTTTTTAAAGTAATCAAAGTTTGAATTTATATCAGGAATCTTCCAAAAAGTGCTGTATTTTAGAGAAACATGGGTACAAAAAAGTAATTTTTAAATTATCTAAAATACTTTCCGGAGGTTCTAAAACACCCGGGTTCTTATAACGAATATAAAAATAAGAAGGTAAAGAGAAATGAGCCTTTTTTAATCCTAAATGAAACAAGTGGGTACCAATAAGCAAAACATTGTTTAATTTTAACCAAACCGAAACGAAGGTGAACAAAAATAATTTCCCTTTTTCCAGATTTGCATATTATTTTTATTATTTTAAAAAATATTTAAAAACTCTTTAGCTCCTTCTTTATCGTCAAGGTTGCTTGATTCGTTTTCATTCTTACTCAGGGCTTTTTTTTTATGATTTTCTGTTGATATTTCGTCCAACTTAAACATTATACCAAAGCCCATTATCATGGTTAAGGGTGGTAAAAAGTTTTTCTTGCCTTTTTTTAAAAAATAAAAATTGTTTAGATCAAAATTTTGCTATGATATTGCTTCGAGACAAAAAGACTATCAAATATATAAAATTATTTTTCCGGTGAGTAAATTAAATTGGTGGTTTTGTTTTACATTAATTTATTTTTAAATAATAATTTTAAAAAAAACAAAATTAAATTTTAAAATTTGTTAAACACAGATATAATTCAGGCTAAAATTTTAGGGTAATAAAATATAGCGTCGGACATTATAGGTTTTTAAAACGTATTTTTGATAACATACTAGATATTCTTGAATGGCAGCTGTGGCTTTAAGGATTACACACATTGTTAAGTCCCAGCCATTCTTAAATCCCCAGCAGGATCAGTTTTTTCTAAAACTAACCGCTTGGACGAGAATATGATAAGGTTAAAAGGTTGCCATATAAGAGTAGGGGTTAATAAAATATATAAAAAAATGGTTTAATAAAATTTGATCATTGTTTAGTAAATTGCTATAAGTTGAACACCAACGCTATAATATTATTACCCAAATTTTAATGGTTAATTGTAGGGTATATGCGTATAGTATTTCAATGTTAACACATATATATATATATAAAGAAATTAGGAAAGTAAATTGAAAATAGGGAAAAAATATTCTTAAAAAACCTCGAATCATAAAGCTCCCGGTAGTCAAGTATTCGCCGGTTGGAGCTGTTTTGGACACCTGATAATTATAGACCCACCAAACGGATACCGTTATTTTGGCCTCCCAGGCCGAACTGTAGCAGAGGGCCATAGTCCCGGCTTCATTAAGAGTTTTAGGTGGGATTTGGCTGTCTTTTTATACCAAATTAAATATATTAAAATTTGCTAATTCAACGTGATTATATGTAAATAAATATGAGGACTGCGTTTAAATATATTTACTAGGATTTTTTTATAGAATATCATAAAAATCATCAAAAAAGGATAAACTCTTGTCAAGTAATAGACTGAAAGATATGATATAACTACCAAATTTCTTTCTTTCCAAATACCTATATCTAGTTCTGAATATTTGAATCTTGAAAGAATAGGATTACTTATTTAGTAATTATAACAACATTACTTTCATCAATATTTTTTATGATAACACTAGAGGCGCCGTGAATATCAGCGTGCACGTATAGGTCACCCGGATTTAAATGCCTTTTCACGAGTAATTCATTTTGTTGCTGGTCACGACCCGCAATTACCAAGTAGTTATCGGAACTAATGAACCAAAAAAACTTTTCGAACCTATAAAATATTGATTTTTTTATCAAAAATTTCAAAATTTAGACACTTATTTGTATTTGTTAAATTTAACGTTAACTAATTCAAAAAATTTCCTATTTATATGGGGTCCTTTTAAAAAAAATCAAATATAAGGGAATTTGATAACAAATTTTAAATTATTTTGAAATCAGTCGACTGAAACCGTTTTGTTAGTATATTAGTAAATTCCATGGTAAATCAATATGAATTTCAACCCGACCCCATTAGAATTTTCTAAAAATTTTACTAGTTTGGGTCCGGCCGGGCCCTAAACCCGGGTACACAGGCCGGCCTCCATTTTAATTTTTTAATATACCCGGGCCGGGCCTAAAGATTTTTTAAAAAAATACCCGGGTCGGCCCGTGTATTTCGAAACCAAATATTTTAAATCGCCATTATTAGATATAAAAATTTAATATATTTTTAAAAAATCCAAGCCGGGCCTGAAAATATAAAATCTGGGCTAGAGGCCGTGCAAATGATACATATGCAGGTCTCTGATTATAACTATGAAAAATATGGAATTTCCTAATTTTTTAAGAAAAAAGTCTTATATTTTATTTTTTCCTTTTCACATTTCAATTTTTTCTTATATTTTAATTTAATAGATTAGCATAAGCATGGATATTTTTATTTCATTATCATTATCTGATTCTGAATATTCAAATCAGATGAATTAACATTACCATAGCCCAAATATGATAAATATTTCAAAGTAACATATTGAAGTAACTAATTCAATACTTACCAAATGTAAAATGTGCCCAAAAAGTATTATATCAGTTTCAAAATCTTCAAGTTCCAATTTAAAACGAAATTTGATTATGATAATAATTTTATTTTATATAATATAACTAAGTAAAATCATTAAATTTGAAGAAAAAATGCATTTAAGGTTATTTGACCCCAACAATAACGATAGTTATTTTAAAATTAAAAAAATTAGTGGCCTAAATTATCAACTATTGATAAGAGCATTATTCAATGGGATTAAAAAGTTTTAAACCTATCATTATCAAATTAATTACATATATTTTTTTTAAAGATTTGAACATATATATGAAGATCAATGTTCTTTCGGCATCCAATATTCAAGCTTCAATGGCCATGGATAAAACTTCCATAGAACAAACCTATAAAAAATTAATTTATAGCGTTATTGAAAAAATGCATTGAAAACCCTAGAAATGATAATGCAAGGTTAATTTCGAGATATCCTTTTTATGACGAGTAAGTAAATGATGGATTGGAGGAGGATAACTTATCTCAATTTTTTGAAGCAAAGTACAAAACAATTGTTTTTAATAAATTCTTCATGTTAAAAGAGTTGCTTATTAAGTATATTACCGCAATCCCCTCAATTGCCCCTATTAACTGCCAAGTGTTCCTGTATATCTGATGAAAATTTTGAAAAATAATTGTTATAAAACAATAACAATAATTTACGATAAAATATGCAGTATCATAGTAAAAAATTAACTGCTTCACATTATCACATTTCCTTCAACATCCAATGCTGATCTTGAACATCTAAATGATTCATTACGATTAATGGGCGAAACATTAATTAGGAAGAAGCGCTTGAAAAAAAGATATCCTATTGAAAAAAGTTGAAAACCCAGGAAAATTAAGAAAGTTGTTTTGAAAATTTCTTAGGTAATTATGATATAAACGGTGAATTTTAAATCATTAAGTAATTGAAAAATAAACTTGAAGCACAATACATTCTCGAAATGAAAAAATTGAGATATTGGCAATTTTACCATTATTGGATCCTAAAAACGAAGAATTTTCTAAGACTAAATTCATAGCAAGGATAGCAAAAGAATTGGTCAAGGAAAAAGATATTTTATCCAATCCTAATATTATGAATCCTAGTTTCGATATTATATTATAGATTGGGAGATTATATAATCCGATTAAACAGTGGTATAATGCCTGATAAAGGTTAAAGGAGAGAAGTGCCAATTGAAGAAAAGACTAATTTTATGCATACTTAAGAGATTATATTCTAATTTTAAAGAAACTCATATTAACATAAAAGTAAGCTTTAATAAATTTAAATATTCTAGACCAAATTTTATTTATTTTAAGAGAAAATGATTGGTTTTCTTAAATCCAAATTTATGAAAAATGTTATTTTCCTAATGGTGCAATAATTCACTATCAGAATTTTAAAAAATCATAATCTAAGCCATCATGAAATTGATTTTGGAATCAAATCGGAATGTTCTTCGTAATAGTTCATGGCAATCATTGCTAAAAGGTTGGCAGTGAGCTAACCTAGCATCCATATATGAATCAATTATAAAACACCTTAGATTTTTTAATTTTTGTAAAGCAGATATCACTGGAATTAAATTGCATATTGATGATAAATATGAAAAATATCTTGTTTCAAAGGGCAAACCGATTCTCGGAATACAAAGGTTTCATGCCTTTATGCAGGTAAATTAAATTAAAGTTATATTATATTCATATTGTTAAAATGATTCAATTTATTTGTCTTTAATAAGATTTTAATCAAATGAGAGAAATTTAATTAAACAAATAATTAACCAAAGCCCACCCCCCAAAAAAAAAACTTTTCCAGATCTTAAATAACTATTCTTTTAAAAAACATAAAATATTTGACTTATATTACAATTATTGATTCTTCTTCTCCGATTAATGGCGATTTCCATGTTTACCTAGTTTGGTTAGTTTTCCTTCTGATTTTTCTTTTCCATTTTTGACGGTCCTGAGCATCAATATAAGATTCATTTTTCTCATATCCGCCGCTATCACCTTTATCCATGTCATCTTGGGCATTCCTGTAGGTCTTGATCCTCCTACTTTCATCAAGGTGCATCTCTTTATCCAGTCATCCTTTGTCTAATGTTCCACATGCCCAAACAATCTTAGTCTATTTCGTCGCTAACACTCCAATCACTTCTATACCCATTCTTGCTCGCTTGCTAGATTTTCTCTCACTCAGAGATACCCTCACATCCATTTAATCATCCTCATCTCTGTTCTTTTCAATTTGGCTTTGTGGGCCGTTTTCATTGCCCATGTTTCGTCGCCATAAACTAAAACTAAAACTCCTCACACAGCTCATGTAAACTTTCCATTTTAACTTTGGAGAAATGTTTTTCTGAACTTCTCCCGTACTTGTCTGACCCTTGCAACAAGAGCCGAATCAACACCACCATCTGCATTTAGCATATCACCCAAATAGAAAAACTTTTCCACTTTTCCCAGTGTTAACCCATTATCAATATCCAAACCACCATTTACTACGTTATCAGTATTATGTATCCCTTTTATGCATGTTCTACAAATAAAGGTCATTTTTGCTAAAATTAGACTTCCCGCTACATCTTTTATGCACTCATTTCTGGCATCTGGTGCATTGGCTTGTATTTCTAGCGACTCCTTTCCCACATACACAACAAAACTAATTAGTGGATCCCTCGATCTTCAGATTATCCCCATCAATCATTATCTGTGTTTTTACAATTCATTTACAAACCCTCTGCTTCCATAGTCATCTTCCATTTACTAATTTTATCCCTCCATTCTTCCTGTTTGCCATTAATACAAGGTCATCTGCATATAATGGCTCCCAGGGAAGTCCTTTGGGCATTTCTCTAGCCGCCACATCCATTACATTACTAAGATAAATAATAATGTACTCAGCAAGGATCCTTGGATGCCTTACCTCTCTTCAAAACTTTCACTATCTCCATAATCCTTCCGTACCGCAGTTTGTGCTACAACATACATTGCCTTCACTGCCATAACCAACCATTCTTCCACATCTGATTTTCTCAAGGCCCATCTAGTATCCTCATGCGGCACCCTGTCAAATGCCTTCTCTAAATCAACATACGCATAATACAGTTCCTTTTCCTTTGCAAGAGACTTCTCCTGTTTGTCTCACCACAATAAATGGATCTGTCGTGCCTTACCCGGGTGTAAAACCAAACTGCAATATATCAATTTTCGTTTGATTCCTTATTCGCTTCTCTAACACCCTCTCAAATACTTCCATAATATGTTCCAAAAGTTTAATAGCTCTATAAGACCCACAAACTAAAGGATCACCTTTCCCCTTGTATACTGGAATAATGATACTTCTTCGCCAATCTTCGGGAATAGTTCCTTCTGTGACAATCAGATTGGCTAAATTCATTAGCCATTTAATCCCTAAGTCATCAGAACCTATAAACATTTCTGATACCACTCTCGTTAACCCGTTCATCTTTTTCAATGCTCTCTTAAGTTCGTCCTTGCCAAATTTACAACCTGGATCTTCTACCTTTGCACAACTAACATCATTATCCTATTCATTCTCTTCGTTCAAAAGTCCTTCCATGCAGATGTTCCAGATGTTTTTGATATCCCTACTATCAATTACCATTTTTCCTGCCATATTTTTCAAATATTTAACAACTACCACCCGCCTTTTTTTTACCATTTTTTGAAACACCTCCGTTTCTCGTCCACAACTCTAGCTACCTCCGTATTCCACTAGCATGTCTCGTCTAGGCGGCCCTTTTGTTTATCCACATACCTCCTCGGTTGTCCTCGCCCAGACTTTCTTCATGGCTTCATACTTGTCATTTACCCCAAATGCTTGTGCCAACTCCGCCTCTCTTATCGCATATCTCATATTGAATTGACGTCTACATTCTCCTCCTTCAATTTCCAAACCTTCAGCCTTGGCACAAACTTTCTTTTAGTGATCCTGGCGCCTTTAAAAGCGACATCTCATACAACAAATAGGTGCTAATCAATATATTCCTCACCCGCTATCAGTTTCATATTTTTTACTATGCTCCTACACATCTCCTTACTAACAAATAATCCGCCGCACTTTTAGCACTAATCGACTTGTAAATCACCAGCTTTTTTGATTCTTTCTTAAACATTGTATTACAAACAATCATATCCATAGCATCACCAGAATCCAAAATTCTTTTCCCTTCCGGATTTCTAATGCCGTAACTAAATCTTCCATGTACTCCCTCATAATCCTCACTAATCGCTTCCACATGTCCATTCAGATCACCAGCCAGCCCCTCTTCATTTGTTCATCTTGATGTCACCTCCAATAGACTGTCCCAAAATGTAACAATCTCTTCTTACTTCTTCCAATCAGAGGAACATATGCTGAAATAATATTGCATAGCTTTCTACCAAAAATTATCTTGATAATCATTGTCTGTTTATCTAGTCTTCTTATTTCGATTACTCTGTCCACTATTTTTCTGCAACCAATAGGGCAATGCCAGTTTTACCATCATTACTTCCTAGCAGAAAAATTTAAACTTTTCACTTGTCCTGCCAATCATTCTAGCACCATTACCTTTCCATCTGGTCTCTTGTAAGCAACACACATCTAACTTCTATGCAGTGCATCGACTACTTCTTCCGGTCTTCCCGTCATGCTCCCAACATTCTATGTAGTAACTCTTACTCCCTTGTAAACAGGTTTCTCCACTTATTATCAGGTCGTTTGTAGCCGTAATATGTTTCATTTTCATGAATCGTGGTTCCATCAGGTTTCTTATTCTTTTTTTTGCTATAGACGGATGAGGTGGCCCACGGAGTACTTTAGGTTGTACCCGGCCCATGCTTTGTTGTAATCATTAGGAAATTTTGGAGGAAGGTTTTTACAATCGGATGCTCTTCCTGACATCAACCCTTTTAGGTGGCTTTTATACCCCGTCGAGGAGACGGTGATTCTATTCTAGACCCAGAGCCGCCAAAAGGCGTTGCCACTCCCCCGCTATGATGAGGCTAAAGTTAGGATTTAATTAATATCAAAATATTATAAAGAATATTTGCAATAGAATCATGTTTAAAAGCCATATCTCCTAAACTTGTCAACTTGAAAATTTGAACATTTATTAATTAATCCTATATCTATATATATATATAACAGTTTGAGAGAAAAAATCTGATTTGATTTTTAATCATTTTCGGTTTAGGGCATTTAAAATTCAACAATACTTGTAAAGAAATTTAAATGAAGTTTCTAGCTTAAAAATATCCAAAGATATTATTAAATTAAAAAGGGTGCACTCCTTTTTGCCCCAAGTGCTCTATTTTTCGAAATTTCGAAGCCCATATCTCAGACGCTGTTTGGAGTTGGAAGCTAAAATTTTACCTTTGTATTAGTTATAATATATGCAAAAAATTTTAGAAAAATCTGAAGGAGCTGGGTTGAAAAGCGAGTTTTTTTGTTAATTTGTTGAGACCAATCGATTTCAACATAAAACAATTTAATATTACTAGTTGAAAAGTGTCCAAGCAATTTGTAAAAGTTTAACAACTCCTTTTTTACCGTTTTGATTTACCATTTCTTGATAAAAACTTTATTAATAATTTTATATTTAAAAAAAATACTCTAATAAAACCCTTTTTTTTAATAATCAATTCAATCTAATCCAAAAAAATATTTTATTCAATTTTATAAAACCAATAAATTTTGCGGGCCTTATTGATATTGATCTGAGTTCTATAGTCGCTAAGCAATTGTCTTGTTTTGCGATGGGCCGATTTGAGGGCCTTACCGCTACTTTCTATTGTTTTTGCTTCTTTGACGGAGGCTTTTTTCTTGTTATCGTAATAGGCGACGGCGTTTTCATAAGCGGATGAAAGGGATAAATCTATAGCTACATCCTTCCCTTTCGATGAGTTAAAATTTTTGTTGACATCCTTGACATTAACATCGTGGATATTTTGGGGTGGGAAGGAATCGACGAATGGATCGCTTATTATGCATGAATGAATATATATTGGATAATCATCAAAAAAGTCCTAGAAATTAATTTCGAAAATGAATTGGAGTGGCATGTTTAGGCATGGTTTCAGGAATGAAAGAAAGAAAGAAAAAAAGAAAGAAAGAAAAAAAGAAAGAAAGAAAGAAAGAAAGATATATAATTTATTCATTTTTTTCATTTTAAAAAAATATTAATTTTATTTTGTGAAAATCATTTTTTCGTGGAATCATCTTTATTATATTTTCGAGTTACGCATTTTTTGTAAAATTTTTAAATTTTACCAGCAAATTTTAAAGGTTTGATGAAAATGTATATAATAATATATATTTTAGATATTTAATGTTGTTTGAATTATTAAATTGATAGTAACACCAAAAAAAAAGTATAAAATCACAAGGTAAAATAGTTTTATCAAAAATTAGACCCCATGTATCAAACTTCATTAGCCATTGATCAGAAAGAGTGCTAACATTAAATTTTTGCTACTCTTTCTTAATCCGTTAATTTCATAAGAATCCAAATATTCTCTTTTTTATTACCCGGCGAAAATGAATAAGTATCCCTAAAATAAATTTTTTTTGAAATAGTTGGAACTAAGTACGTTGGCTGTTCAACCATCGGGGAGGGGTTGGGATCGACGGCGTTTGATGGTCTGGGATTGTCGGAGAGTGGGACCGGACTTAATGGGCATTTTCGTCATCGTACCCCACTTCCATCGCGGGTAGCACAGATTGAAGAAAACATTTTATTTAACGCACGTTTGTTATATCAAAATAGTGAATTTTATTAGGTTAAAAATGGTCGCCGTAAACGAAAAATATAAAAGATTCATTCCTAGGTACAATCAATTGACAAATTAAAATATAAAAATTAATGATACTGATTACATATTTGAAACTATTTATGTACTAAAATTTGTTGCTATATTTTCCTATCACGATTTTATTCCTATTGCCATCCTTAAAACAGGTTAAGACCAGTTTCAAGTGAATAAAATAAAATAACAAGCTTTTTTTATAATTTACAAATCGTGTAAAACAAAATAAAGAATAATACAGTTTTAAGTGAAATTAATAAATATAATATCAATCTTTTTTTTATAATTTACAAATCGTGTAAAACAAAGTAATGATTAATGATGGACAAAGGGGGCAAAATGTGATAAACAATGTGAGGCTTTGAAATAAGTAGTATTATAAGAGATTTTTAAGTGAAGAAAATTTCATTATAAGATATTGTAATAAACACAACATTTTTAATCAAATTAATTCGAAATTTTAGCAAAATTATTTCATATATTTTATATACATATTTATTAATAATTAAAATTTTGATAAACTTTTAGTGGGAATTTCATAAATAAAAATAATAAATCAAAAAGATAATCATAATATAATGCATAAATATATTATTAAATGGTTTTAAATTTTTATAAATCAATGATTTTAAATAAACCCTGATTATACTCCTTTTCTAATATATTTTAAAATTACTATAAAAAAAATAAATCCAAACTTCAATATCATAATCATCTGATTGCTCTCGAGTTTAAGGGACTTAATTTTGATGGCCACTGGATCTTGAGCCTTCTTAGCATCTTCCAAGCTCTGCTTCAAATCAGCCCAATTCATTTGGGCTGCTAAACCGCTTTGAATAATTTTCATAGCATGGTCCACCAGGTCAAGATTGAGCTCGATAAGCTGGGCCATTTCCGTGCAATCTTCCTATATATTAAAAATAGATTCATACATTTTGAAATTGTGGCCAAGGTAGAGGTCTCCTTGTAATACTTCAATATTTAAAAAATTCTTATCTCAAGCCCCCCCCCCATAGTTTGTAAAAAAATTAACTACCTTTAAAGTATTTAATTATACAGAAAATCTGATATCGTGCATTTCTAATCACTATTAAGTTTATTATGTTAAATTAATTTAGAATCTTCTTTTGACTATAAAACAATTTTCACAAATGTAGCACATGGCCGGCCATTTTTTTTTAAAAACATTTTTTCAACTTATATTATATTGTTGCTTAAATAATACACAATATAATAATATTAAGATAATAATTTTATACATATTTTTTTTCAAACACATATACTCATCAACTCGGTTGTAAGTAATGGTATTAAAAGGGTACTTTTTATTGAAAATCCAAGAGAAGAGAAATTATAACTGCTCGAAGATATAAGACAGCAGAAACTAAATTTTAGCTCGAGACAGATCAGAAACTAGATATAATAGATCGATTAATAATGTAAAAGCCGGAAAGTTCCCGGGAATTGGCATATTCTCAGGAACGAAATTCAAAATTTCCAATAAAATTCCTGAGAATATTTTTAATTACTTACTAATATTTTAATATCGTTAGAAAGAGTTTCAAAATACCTTGAATATTTACAAAAAGATTATCCATCATATATGATATCACAATATTTAAGGCATTTTTATATCAGCTGATATTTGATAACCTTATAAAGATTAACTGAATATTTTGATATATCGCAAAATTACATATTTTTTGTCAGAATATTCATTTCGCGGCACTTATAATCCCCGCTTCAATGATTTTGAAATAACCAATGATGAGATATTATCTGGCATGGCTGCAGTCAATGCCCGAATTTCAGAATTCAATATTGATATCGTAGTTGTTCTAGCCAATCATGGAGAATTTCGATCAAAGGTTTTGAGGAAAAGGCAAAGCATGTTAACTTCTATGATGGAAAGGCCTTTGTCAGCATCAACCTATAAGATTAATTGCTCTAAGACTTTTATCGATTCCTCACATGAATGGTGGTTCAGGGAGAATCTACTCTTATTTTGGAATCCAAAAATCATAGTTGATTACTACATTTAATAAAAAATTTGTCAATTTTTTTTAATTTTTAACCAATTTATGACATTTTTACAAAGTTTCTCAGAATTTCTTGCAATTCCCCAAAATTACGATTTTCCCAGGGCAGGATGTTTGATTCAAAATTCCCAGGATATTCACATTTATACTCTTGATAGCACAGATCCTTATCTTGATAACCGGAAGTTGGTGATTCTAATGATATTCGCAATAGTAATCAAATAACGACATTATGATTAAATATCGCAACCAGATAGTGCATCTATATATATAATCGCTAATAAATGACAATCATATTTAATCTAATAGTATTCCTTGTAGTGAAGTTAAGTTTATTAATTATTATTTTTCAGTGTTGTAGTGAATGTGATGAGTGATGATTTAATATAACATCATGTTAACGATCAAATTAAAAATATTGTTTACAAAAATAATTAAAAAAACACATTTACTTTTAAAAACTTGAAAGAAAATGCTTTTTAAAAAAATTTGTTTTAATTTTAAACTTCTTCAAACCAAATATATTTTAAGCCGGTTAAAAAATCGGCTAGATCAAGTGTTTTAGTCTAAAACTATCACTCTGGCATTTCGGAGTTAATCTTAAAAAGATAGAGGCTCAAATTTGGAAGAAATTAAATAAAAACGCCTCAATCAAAAAATTTCCTTCGTCAAGCACCTGAAGATTGAGCCAAGTTAGCTTGTATTTAGCCATTACCCAATTATATCAATTACACAAACTTTATAAAAAGTGTAAATTGACGATTTTATATATTTTGACTTCAGAATAGGCAGGACAAAAAGACGCTTGTTTATAACAACCCCCCCCCCTAAATAAAAACGATCCAAAAGTATTCTAAATATCCCATTCAAGCTCAATCTTGCCGAATTTATAAAAACGTTATCAAATGTATTTGTCTAACATACATATTTCTAAAATTAGAAAATAAAATCAATACGTATTTAAAAAATAGCAATAAAATTAAACAAATCCGGCCAGAAAGATCGTATCTAATTCTGAACTAAGATGGTACAGCTGGAAATAATCGCTCAGCTAGCCAACATAATAACTCATTTTAATCTTATTTTTTGGTATATCTAAGCCCTAAGTGGTCCCAATTAAAATTTTTTAACCCTAAGCTGAATTGCTGTTTTTATATTTTTGAATATATTTTATTTGACCCCGAGTCTGTGCTCGGGGTTAGTGCTTTCTTAAAAAATCAATTAGCATTTAAAAATTTATGCGTTAAAAATTATGTCGTTACGCCGTTTCAAGACGCTTTTTATAACCACGGCTAAAAATTTGGCTTGTCGAAGACCGCCTATTACATATTTAAACATCGTTCGGTCGCCGATAGTTCCATTGGCGTACAGATATAAATACTTATAATTAAAATAATTCATTATGGGTATATAGTTACGTTATTTATATTTCCTATAAAGCTTTTATTTTTACTATTTTTAAAAAAATATATATATTAAATCGAATTAAAATAATATTACAATTAAGGGAAACAATAAGCTATTAAATTAGTTTGTGAATATATTTATGACTTGTACCTTAAATACAGGGTTTCCCATTTAAAAAAGGAAAAATTTCAATCATAAAAGGAAAATGTCCATCAAAAAAGGAAAAATCCCAATCAAAAAAGGAAAAGTATCAATCAAAAAAAGGAAAGACCCAAAGGTTTAGGAAGAAGTTCGATCAAAAAATCAAAAGTGTCAACAAAAAAGGAACCCAATTAAAAAAGGAAAAATTTCAATCATAAAAGGAAAAACCTCAATCAAAAAAAGAAAATTGTTTTCTTAAATTTTTATTATATATTATTTCTAACTTTTTACGGTTTCTTTACTTTATTTTTCTTACTATCTTTTCTCACTTTATTTTCTTCTCATTTTTGATAATTCTTTGGTCTTTTTAAAAATAATTTATTTCTCTACTCCATTATTTTAACAATTCTTTCCTTTTTTTTTATTGCATAACAATATTTTGACTTTTTCTCCATATATTGTCATCTTTTATACATTTCTAACTTTTTCAATCTCTTTAAGTCATTTTTAATTTGTATTTATCAGATCTTTTCTCTGTTTTTTTTTCTTCTCATTTTTGATAATTCTTTTTGTGATTATTTTAAAATTTCATTTAATTTTTATTTCTCAATGGCAGACAAAATTTTAAAAATAATACATATCGTTTGGTATTACAGTTCAAACTTGCTATTTAATTTTAAAGGTACATTATAACCAAACGATTAATTTAATTCAGCAATGTAATTTGATATGTAAAAAATTATAATAAAAAAATTGTCTGCCATTGAGAAATAAAAATTTAGTGAAAATTAAAAATAATCACAAAAAAAGAATTATCAAAAATGAAAAGAAAAAAACTTGAGAAAAGACAGATAAATAAAGATTAAAAAGACATAAAAAGATTGAGAAAGTTAGAAATGTATGTAAAAGATAATAATTTAAGGAGAAAAAATCATAAAAAATCAAAATATTGTTATGTATGATGAAAAAAAAAAGAAAAGAATTAAAAAATGGAGTAGAGAAGTGAAAAAAAATAACAGGGAAAATTTGTAAATTATTTTTAAAAAGACAAAAGAATTATCAAAAATGAGAATAAAAATAAATTGAGAAAAGATATATTAAGAAAATAAAGTAAAGAAATCGCACAAAAGTTAGAAATAAAATAAGAAGGAATAGTAAAAATAAATAAAAATTTAAGAAAAATTGACAAAAAAAAATAAAAAATTTTTTAAAAAAATTTAAAAAATAACGATTTTTTTTGTTGATTTACACTTTTCCTTTCCTTTTGTGAATTTTCCTTTTTGGATTGACACTTTTCCTTTTTTGATTGGACTTTTTCCTTTTTTGTTTGACACTTTTCCTTTTTTGATTGACACTTTTCCTTTTTTGAATGGGAAACCCTGTATGTTCATATTGACAAATTGTCACTATATTCTTTTGTCTAGAGAAAAATTTAGGCTTTCTTTTATATAAAGAATTTTAACATTATTTACAAAAAAAATTGGAACTTAAATTTTTATTTAGTATATATAATAGAAAAATTAAAAATAATTTTAAGTATTTTGTTATTCGATTTCTATATGTTATTTTTTTAAAAAAATTTTGGTAGGCTCATGTTCAAACTTATTACAACATCATTTATGTTTTTGTTTAATCTATAAGTCCTGTTTTTGCAGTATCTTTTATTTTTCTAGACCAGAAGCCAATTGCCAGCTTTTTTAACGACAAAGACTTGCTACCGCCATTTTTCGCCCTAACGATCTATATCTCTTCCACGAATAATCTCCATGTCTATGCCTTCTATCTTCCCTTCTCATTCCTAGTTTCCCTTTTTTTATCTCTTATTCTTTTCCGTATAAACTCTATTTTTATATTTTTCACCTTTATTAATTTTATCTTAGAAAAAATTAATTATATGCTATTACATTTTGACAACATATTATATCAGTTACTATTCAAATTAAGTAACCTATGATTTGAAGAAAAAAATTGTCCGCTTTATAGCTAAATTTTGTTCCGACTTTATTAAAATATGACCAAATAGTTGCATTCTCTAAAACAGGTCAAAGAAAAAAAAATAATATATTTTTATTTAGAATAGCTAACAATAGCGGTAATTGCATCGTATAGGCTATATAAATAAATATCAATTGAATATTAGAAAAATTCTGCTTATTTAGAGGTTAACACTTTATTTTATTCGTAAAACTAAATCCAGAATAATATTATTGTTAAACAAGGAAATTTTTTTTATTACTACTACAATCTTTTTGGAAAATATAATCTACCAATATTTTACAAATTTTATTATCACAATCATTTTACAACTCGCTCATTTTGTTAAATGTGTTTACTACAAAAAATTAACTTTTGTTTCGAAATTTAGTTAAAATAATTTTTCAGCATATTCTTCTTTGTTTTAAAATAAGTTTTTTTTGTTTTTATTATTAAAACCGGAGCGGATCGGGTGGAAAGTATAGGTGATTTTTTAAATAATTTTTTCTTTCAAGTATATTAAATAAATACTTGAGTCTTTTGAAGATTCATTGTCCTATTTTGGTGGTCCTTTTTGACATGTTCCAATTTTTTGAGGGCGGTTTTTTCTTGCTGTTCCGTTTTAATGTCAAGTTTTTGAGCCTCTAGCTTAGAATAAAATTCGTCTACGCATTTATTAAATGACTCCAACACCTTCAATCTGTTATTGTTAACTTTGCTCAAACCATCTTTCCCTTTGAGATCAAAACCTATTCTAATATTTTCATCATTTGCATCGGCATTAGATGTCTGAGGATCAAAATTTTGATACTTAACAGTATCTTGAGCATATAGAAAGGGTTCAAAATCTTCGTACATAATCAACTCGTTATTGTCGTCTTGAGTTGAAAGGATGCCGGTATTTTGTTTAATTCCAATTTTATAAAATATGTAACCCTATTTTTAAAATAATAAATTGTTATATAAATATTAAATATAGTATTATAAAAAAAAATTTATATAAAATATTATTTAACAACCCATTTAATTTTTTTTGATAAACTTCTCAAATAAAATTTCGAATAAAATAATTCTTATATTTACCGGATTTGTTTGGGTGCCAGCCTTAGAAAATATATCGATAGCCATTTGAATCGCCGATTTAAGCTGATCCTCTATTGCCTTGAATTGGTTTAGTACATTTAAGTTACTGTCAGTTTCTGCACTTAACTTATGAGTAGGATCTAATTCATTACTGACAAGACAATGTTCAATCAAACCCGGACCAAATGGCAAGAAAGGTAAGGCTGAAGTAATAAGCTTTTTAAGTGGCATTTCTAAATTTAGGCTTGGATTATTAGGGTCACGTTGTTTTTTGGGCTTCCCGCCAACCTTTTTGTATGGCAATGTAGACTTCTGTTTAACCCCCGAGGATGTAGACTGAGTAAGATGATTATCTATATTTGTGGAGACTAAAGGTTCGATGTCATTGTTAATATTATTGTCATGAGGCTGTAAGCCTTCTGGTTTCAGCTTTATAGATTCAATGTAAGAAAATATTTTGTCCATGCTATTTTATTTTTGGCAAGTGGCATTGTTTGATCAATAAAAGAAAATATGATATAATAAGTTCATTTAAGGTTCTTTATTCAAAAATAATCAATCAAATAGATATAAAAATAATATTATAAGCAATCATAATTTAATTTCTTTAGACCATTCTGCTGAAGAAGATAAATTCTGTTTCAGTGTTATGAGATGGAATGGATATATTTCGTTTACTATGAACTTTGTATCTTCATTTAGTGTTCTAGGTCTTAGTAATGACAAAATTTTACCATCACTGTCCGTTAATATCATATTTCCCTTAAAGTTTCAATAAAAATAAAAAACATAATATATTTTGATACTATAAAAAAAACTAACATTAGCTTAAATAATTTCAATGGTCTATCAAACATTAAATTATAAATAATTAGTATTTTATTGTATTTAGCTATTAATATATTTGCCAAAAACAATTTTACAAATACTACTTGCTAAAAAAAATTACTGTGTACTGGCCTGTAATTGTTTTTTTTTGAAAATATTCAAGTTTTAAAAAAAATTTGCCTGCTAGTCAAAAATATTTTACACAAATTTCCCAGCTCAAATCAAAAAAATTTGAAGAAAACGGGCATGACTAAAATACACGCCCCCAAAAACTATGCGCCCCCTATCAAAGAAGCTTAATTTAAATTATATTATTACAGAATCATATTTAGCTTCATAAGATGAGTTAGAAAATGCTTTTTTTTATTTTAAAAAAAATTGCAACATGTTAAAATTTTTAAATAATTATTTTTTTACATGACTAAACTATGTGCCCCCTATCAAAGAAGCTTAATATATAAAAAATGAACGCAGAATCATATATAACTTATTAAAAGGAATCAAAAAATGTTAATACTAAATTTATAAATTATTTATAACTTATTGAGATTTTGAAAATTCACTTAATTTCTTTTTTTTTGATTAAATTTTTTTTTAAATTTTACTATGTTGCCATTTTTTTTAAATCAAAAAAAATATTTCCTAACTCATCTTATGAAGCTAAATGCAATTCTGTATTAATATAACTTAAATTAAGCTTCTTTGATAGGGGGCATGTAGTTTTTGTGGGTGTGTATTTTAGTCATGCCTAAGAAAACCAATAAAATGTGGTTAAATTATATACCTTATCATATAGTTCAATTATAATATGATGTGCCAATTCTTGAGTTCCAAATTGTAAATCTATCATTCTATCAATACCCATCATTTCTATTGATTCTAAACGTTTTTGACGCAAATGCTTTCTTAGCTTTAATGTTATTTTTAATAATATTTTAAAAAAATATAATAATTAAATTTAAGATTATAGTGTTCTTGAATTTTGTAAAAATTAAACTATCATTTGCAAAGTAATATAAAATAATAAAAAACTATTACATTAAAAAAAAATCTAAGTTGAAAATATTAAATTTAATTAGATATTATCAACAGAAATATAGGCTTAATTCATTATATATAACTTTCTATCAAAGTAAAAAACTTTCATGGCAAATCCTGATGGCATCATATTTTTAGGCCATTCAAATTCGGTTAAATGAATCCTTATTCCTGATTCTAATAATAGAATTGCTTTCTCATCTTGCTTATGAAATCTAATAAGATATGTTTTTTTGTCAACATCATATATATTCAAAACGCGCATTCCTATTAATCTATATTTTAAATAATATAAATTTTCTTTAAAAAAGTAACTTGGTTTTTATTTCAAACAATATTGATTGAATATCAAATGCTGTATAACGATTTTTCATCTTTCAGTATGATTAGATAGACTTTTCAAAACAGATGATAATTATGAGAGTATCATAGGTAATAGAAATAATATTAGAGTTACATTAATGAAATTTATTTGGCAGATAATATTAATTATTTTAGATAACATTCTCATTCAAATTAATAAAAGAAATTACATTACATTCTTATGCATACATATGTAATTATATAATTACAAGAATATTAAGTAAGAAATATTTAATTTACATCATTTTGAATTTGTATTAAACTCTTTTAAATCTCTATTATTAATATGGATTATTTTAATCTTTATTGATATTTTCCTTTTATACTAAGTGCATTATTATAAAATATTAATTAATAAATATAACTTTATTTACTTCAAATTTTGTTTAATATATTCATATTGCTTAATTGTGTCTAATAGCTACCTAATATTATCAGGGCAAGAATAATTTATTTGAATCTAACAAAATTAGGTTTGGACTAAAGGCAAATTTTAATTAGTGTTAGATGAGTGTTTTTAAATAAAAAATATAATTTTTCTTGTATGCTTAACCTAAAGGGATGAATATTTTATTTATGCTCTGATTTTATGAGATATTAAACCCACTACATTCGGTGAAATCTATAGGACACTTAGGGCTATTGAGCAGTGCGTAGTAAACAATAAGTATATTTCGTTTCAGATTTTCGTGAATCGTGTTAGAGATTATGGCTATGCTACACAAAAAAGGGTTAGGGTTTTATATTAAATATGATTTATTTTTATCAAATTACGAGGTTTAGATTAAGTTTTAATACCAAACTCAACTTATGTTTAGCTTATGGCTATGCTATAAGGGTTAGGGTTTATATTAGATTATGGAAAATACTCTATTTTACTGAGCAGCGCAAATAGCCAATAAATATCTTAATATTTGATGAACTCCACTGTTCGGGTTAAGCATAGGCGTAGCCAGGATTTTCATGAGGGGGGGGGGATTAAAAAATTACTGGGGCCGGGTTACTTTAGTCTATATATAGTCATAAAATATTTTTACAAATTTTAATAAAAAAAAATAAGCCTGGAACAAATATGAAATATATTTTTATTAGTTTATATAAAATAAAAATATAATAAATTACTTGTATTGTTTATACCTTAATATAAAAGCATGGTAATAATTTATTCCAAACAATTATAAGAAATTTATTTATAAAAAGTAAGTAGACATATAGTTGATTTTACTCTATTATATAGAATTAGTTATAAAATACTAGGTAAAATTCCACTTCAGACATATTTGACAATAAGAGAATATATTACAGTTAATATTTTAACAAATTTTACTAATCAATGCTCTTGATATTAAATATAGCAACAATTTGCATTCAATTATTTAACGCCATCTATTTATTTTAAGTAAAAATGATATTTAAATTTAATCTTCATATTATTCATCCCACAATGTCTTTAAAAGATATTTTCTGATGTCCTTTATAGTGATGACGTTTCACGATGATGACGTGTGACATTAAAGAAATGATATGTTGTCAATAATTATATTTTATATATATATATAGAGATACATTGTATATGCATATGGGAATATTATTCATACAATAAAAGATAATCTTTATCATCTTTATGATCAATTACTAGATAATTAGTACACTTATCAATATTTTGTAGTTTTCTGTAAAATATATAATTCGCTATATTGGTAATTACTTGATTGTCATTTGATAATTAGATATACTGTAAATCTACAACATATAATATTCCACTGATTGTATTGTGCTTTAATATTTTTTTAATTTATGACTTAATTTTATCAATAGTTTTATAATTATATTTTACTTTTATTAAGATAAATAAATTAAATACTCACTTTATAAAAAATTATATTTGATATATTATATTATTTAGTAATTTTATGGATCTATTATTAATAATTATAATACATTTCACTTCTGTCTTAAGACTTATTTTTGGCTTATATTCCATTTATTAAAAAACATTTTTGGTTCATTTTACATATTTATAAATTTATTTTCCCAAAAATCTATAAATTATAATGAATAGTTTTATAAAAAAATATCAACTTACATTCTTTTTTTTTAATTATTAGTTAAGATATATGCATACATATTTGAGGGTCAGGGAGTGGGGGGAGGACTAAGGGGGATATTTTTTATTAGCTAAAAATGATATTTACAAAAAGTGATAAATTTCTGAAGGGGGGGAATTTCCCCTTGCCCCCCCCCTGGCTACCCCTATGAGGTTAAGGATTAACCCTAAGTTTATGGGCCACATTAGTGATTAGCTTAGGGTTATGCAATAAAGATAAGTGTTCGTGTTTATATTAAATCAGGGTTCTATACTGACAATAAAAATACGAAAAATATTCGAATATTTCATGAAGTTGTCACCTGCCAATGTCACGTTCCCTATTATTGGGTCATATCTGACAGGTCACGGAATTTTTGTCAGAATATTAATCGTCTATTTTTCAAGTCTCTGAAATATGGAATAGGATTGTTAGACAAATATGGGTTAGAAATAATTAAAGGCTTTAGAAAAATAAATTAGGTTAGGGCTAAGATATAATATAAATGGTTTTTAATAAAATTTATTTGTTTTATTTATAATGTAATCATCAGAAGATCAGCAGTTTTAACTACGATTTCTATGAGTTGGACCATAATTGTATTAGCTAATCGTTAAAAAAGATAATTATGCTGGCCTAATAAACACTAATTTAACACACATGGTCACTAACACCTTAAGAATGTTCAGAAATGAAATGTATAATCTCATCAAAGTCCTCTGTAAAAAAAGGAGAACTGGTGACCACAAGGAGGGATTCTACCCCGCCAGCAGATTTTCCTTAAAATCTTGGGATCTCATTTTCTAGAATTCACTCTTCTGAGATTTTAAATTTTGTCATAGAAAATTTATAATTATTTCCAATACGATATTCATTATTTATTAATATAAACTATTACTTTAATTATATATTTAAAAAACCAGAGATCTTATATTAGGACTGTGTTGTGAAGCAAAATTTTCTGGTCCAAGCTAAAAAAACTGATGTGAGATAGAGAAATATAATCAGCAAAATATTTTGATTTTTTCTTAAATTTTTTATCTAAGATGTGTATAATAAAAAAATTATGTAATATTTTTAATAGTATTTGCTTAATTTATGAATTATTTATAATTATTTTAAAATAGATTTATAAACTAGAGAATATTATTTATTGTAAAGAGCTAAAATTAGCGAATATTTATAATTATTTTCTAGAAAAGTTCAATTAATGCTTGTTTCATTCTATATAGGATATAAAACTAGATATTATTTGCAGAGACCTGCAAGCCCGGCCCTAAACCCGACCGGGCCGTATTTTAATTTTTTTAAATAAATACAAGCCGGGCAGGGCCGGGCCGGGCCTGAATTTATTTTAAAAAAAAACCCGGCAGGTCTGTATATTTTAAAACCAAATATTTGAAAACGCAATTATTAGCTATAAAAATCAAAAATAAATAAAATATATTTTAAAAAATCCGGGCCGGGAATTTTTTTTTAAAAAAAACCCGGGCCGGGCGATTTGGGTCATTATTATAAGTAAATCTTGAAAAATAATTCCCCGAGAAAAATTTCCCACAGAAAATAATTTTCAGAAAAAAAAATTAACGTTATAGATCCTAAATTATTTTTTTTTAAATTAATAAAATAGGAGAATTAGAAGTCTGGGGCAGATTTTTGGACCAAAAGCCCGCCCATCCAATGTTTTAAAAAAAATTTAACTCGCCCGCCCAGCTCACCCATAGTTTTAAAATAATATATACCCGCCCGCCCCGCCCATTTGCTAAAATTTTTTACCCGCCCGCCCATTATTTATAAAAAAAATTTTAACCCAAGTCCGCTTATAAAATTTAATTATGGTCATTCTTTCATTTTTTTAAGCATCTAATAAAAATATTTCAGCATTACACCTCTACAAAAAGTTTATAATTTAGGAAATTAATATAAGTATATAAATAATCAATGTAAATTATGGACAATTAATTTGATCAAATTGAATATTTACGGAAAAAAATATAAATGTAAAATTAATATTATATGTAATTATAATGCAAAAATAATAATGAATCGACATTTTCTGGATTCTAACACGTTCTTCTTTGTTCTAAAAATCTTCCAGCAATGCTAAATCCGCGTTCGGAAGAAGCACTAGAAAAGTATTCCCATAAAAGGAAATTTTTAATAGACAAAAATGTTTATTTATTCTAAGAAAAAAGTTTTATTGTTGTGTTTATTACATAATATAGTTAGGTAAATGTTCTTCACTTAAAAAAAACGATTGGTACAATAAAAAAAGAAATATTGTTATAGATCATTTACAATTATTTTTTTTAGTTTGTTTTTGAACAAAAATTTTAAATTTCCTTAACCCGCCCGCCCATTGTTTAAATTTCTTAACCCGCCCGCCCAGCCCGCCCATAGTTTCAAATTTTTTAACCAGCCCGCCTGCCCATTCTTGAAAAATTTCGCCCATATAAAAGGACGGGCATGGCTGGCGGGCCGAAACTCAGCCCAATGCAGACCTCTAGAAGAAATTCCCTTAAACATACTCACCAAATGTTTACCCCCGTAATAAAATATTTAAAAATTTGGGTAAATCTATAAAATAAAAAAATTCCTGGGAATTATATTCCTAGAAAAGATTTCCCAAATAAAATTCTTAAACAAAATTATGGGTAATTGATATTAAAAACTACATAATTTTTTAAAATGCTATGATTAACCCTAAACCATATAATGGGTAACGTTATTGTCTTATCCCAAACCTAATTTTAGTAAAATATTAGCCAAAAATTTAATATAAAATAAACGAATGTTTAACTATTTCATAAGGGAGATTAGGGTTAGATAAACGCCAGGGCTTGGCAAACCACTTAATCTCATTTTAAAATTAAATAGATTAGAAGGTTTCTATTTTATCCGAATATAGTAAGTATGCATCTATAGACAAAAAATTTTTGATGTAATTATTAAAAATTTTATTTAGGAAATAAA